AAACGAATCCTGTAATAAAATCCATTAAATATTTTTTTTTAAAAAAAGGATATCCATTAAGAACTTCATTTTTTATTCTTATTAATTTTCCACTCAAATCAAATTCAATTTCAATGTCTAAAAGTAATGGCGCATCTACAAGAGATTCAACTGGCTTGTCCAACTGGGAAGATTCAATGAAAAAAAGAAGCACATCACCCATCCTTTCAATCTTAGAATTTATATTTTCTATGTCTTCTAACTTGTCATCCGATTTGACAAATGAATATACATCACCTTCGTTGGACGTGAATCCTACTGGACTAAAATAGCATGCATTTAAAGTGTGGAATGTAAGTGACACTAATGCATGTTTCAAAATAATTAAATCCCTGGAAATATCCGAGAATTTTTTATCAGATTCAAAGATTTTCGAAATTATCGGTATAATATTATCATAGAAATTCTCTATTGTCATTAAAAAATCAACATTATCCTCAAAGTCTTGTCTATCGTTGAATATATTAGCCACGGATTTTGAAACTATGAATAAACAATCCAAAGTGATAGAGATATCCAACATATATTCTAAATAAGTACGAGCATTGGCAAGCTTTTTTTTATCAAATATAACACCTTTACTTGTTTTTTCACTGTCAGCTATTTCTTGAAATTTGTCACCTATGACTTTTATATAGTTAACAATCGTACTGGAATGCATTTCAAAATCTTGAATTATTTTTGTTACAGATTTGATCGTATTATCAATGAATTTCTCTATTTGTTTAGTATTTGATCTACCATACATTGCTACTACATCAAGTAGAAATGGTACTGATATTAAATTATTTTGATACAATGCTTCCCCTAATGTAATTCCATTTTTCATTTGGATCGAAGAAATTGATGGTTCTGAAAGGCGTAATAATATTGCTAAAACTTTTTTATCTAAATCCACCTCCATTGAATGTCTAGTTTGCATAATTTCAAATCTACGAATTTTTGCACGAATTCCCAAAAACGACTCCAAAAACTTTTGAAGAGACTCATTATGAAATAAATAATTTGCAAAATCTATATCATTTGATTTTAAAATCAAGGAAAGACTTGAAGTCCAAATATTAAGCGCAGCAATCCATTGTGAATCAGTTACGCTCTGAGATACATATTTATCTATATAAGGAGGCACCACCAAATTTTTAATTTTCTGCGTCGCCATTATCGTTATGGAAATCCCTTGAAAAAATTGCAGATTCTACTTATATACATTTTTAATGTAGTACAACTTTGACAATTTTAGATCTAGTTTTACCGCAGTTCACTCGTATCACTCGAATCCGCAGTTGCATTATCATTGTTACAATGATGTAACCAAGATTTAGCAGATCGGATGGTCGGAGCTAGGTGTTATCATAGACAGAAGTTCGTCTGATTGGCTAATAAATTCAATTTAATTTTACATTATTTATACAGTTTAGAGTACCAACCATAATAAAGTAAAAAAAAACTATATAGAATGTTTCATTAGAGCTGTAGGACTCCGTAGTCAAAAATAAAATCTAGTTTAAATTAGCTTAGAAATAAGTTGATTTTATCGGGTTTTTAGAAGGTATTACTATACTAACTTTTTAAACGGACAAGAATTAGATCTTATTTTTGGTTATGGAGTTCTATAGCTTTAATGAAACCTTCTGTACAGTTTTTTTTTATTTCATTATGATTGGTTTTTGTTTTTTTAAAAAATGCTTTAAATTGTTGTAATATGGTTAAATTTTATTAATATATTTTATATTTTTATTTAGTTAAATTTATTAGCAAATTTTATATTTTTATTAATTGAATTTTATTAGTTATTTTCTTTATATTTTCATTATATTTTCTTTTAAATTTTATTATATATTTTTTTATATATTTTATAGTTTTATTAGTTTATTTATACAGTTTATAGTATATTTTATTTATTTTAGTCACTTAAATAATAGTTTATTATTAATTTTATTAGAATAGTTTTTACAGAATTTCATTTCAAGTAATAGTTATTTAATTATTTAAATTATTAGTTTGTTTTATATAAATAGAACTTAGACCAATATACACAAGTACATAGATATTTTTAATAGAAAAAGAAAGTTTTTAGTAACTTTTTTTTTAAAATTTAAATTAAAATATCTTAATAACTATTAAATTAAATTTAATAAATTTTTTTTAATTTTATAATTTGAAATAATCTACTTGTTACCAGCAGTAACAGTATTAGATTTTATTTAAAGCTATATTTAGGGTTAAAAAGGGTCATAATATATAGTAAAATTATGTAAGAAATATTTTGTTAAAATACAGAAGTTAGTTTTATAAATATAATTTTAAGTTATTTTGATTTGAAATTTTAAGAGTTTTAAATCATATAATCTGATTGGCCTGAGTTTGTCATTGCCAGTAACAAATAGATTTGCTCTTATAATTTTATAAAATTAAAATAAAATTTATTAAATTTAATTTAACAGTTGTTGAGATATTTTAATTTAAACTTTTACTTAAAAAAAATCTTTATCCTTTTTATTGAAAAGCTTTTACCTATTTAATTCTAGAAACTTATTTTGCTGATTCTTAATATACAAATTGTTACAAAAAAATAAAAAACAAAAACAATAAAACTTGAAAATAGTACCAAAAAACAAAGTTTACATGACTAAGTAAAGAGAAAAAAAGCACAAAACAACATTTTGTCTCTTAGAAGACTAGAGTTAATAAGTCAAAAACTAACAAGATATAGAAAAAATATGATAGTTTTCTTTATCTGTAAGCAATTTTTTAAGAGAAACATTTGATCCTATAGTGTAAATCTGTTGATATAATACAATTATACAATATGTAATAAAAAATAAACAAATATATAAAACAGTATATAATAAATATAATAAGAAAAACAATAATAATAAAAAGGCTATCATATAAAATATGTAAAAAAAAGTTCTAGAACTAAATAAGTAATACAAATCAGAGTAGCTACAAGATAGTTAATAAAAATCAACTTAACAAACTAGATAAAATTAAAGTAAAAAAATGTAAACATAAATATAAAAAATATTTTAGCAAAAACACAGAAGAAGAATTAGAAAAAAAGCATTATTATTTTATCTTTAACTATAAACTTGATATTATTCTGTCAAATACTATACTACAAGAAATTTTAATAACTTTTTTATTTACAAAAGAAATATACTATACTAAAAAATTAAAAAATTGTATATAGAAAATCTAAAC